TATGATAGTAGTCAAAAAATACCTATAAATATCGTTAATCTGATCGATATACTTCGATATACATTTATTTTTATAAAGGCCTGTTAGAAACACTTAAAATATCTACGAAATTAAATTTTAAATAAGTTCTTTCAATTTTAGAAGCTCAAAATTTCAATAATAAAGAACCCTAGGCAAATGATACCTATAAATATCGTTGTACATATCGATATACTTCGATATTCATTCTCTTCATAAAAGTCTTTAATTATTTACGAAATTAAATTTTAAAATTAATTCTTTAAATTTTACAGGCTCTTAAAAATCCTTTAATCAATAATAAACTACCCCCACTTCCAATACCCTGGAAGGAAAAAATTCTAAACAAAATTCTAGAGATACTGCCAGCGAGATAGAGGAAAACTAGCAGCGAGACACGAACAGCTGCTGCCCAGTGGAGCAGCACCCATTTACGTGCTCCAAAACGGCAGTCATAACAAATTAAGAAGGTTACCTCTATGGCCATCGCCCAGAGCTGCGAGCTGCAGCTCAGCTCCATTCCAGAACCAGAACCAAACCCAGGTTTCTGGTACGGATTCGACTCCAGGAAAAGAGAGAGAGAGAGCTGGCTGCTTGCCTAAATACTTTTGCCAAATCTTTGCACGTTCTCCAAACCTGGACAAACTTTTGGCTGACAAAATTCAATGACAAACTCCAATATATACTTAAAAAAAAAATCTAAAAAATAAATGTTTCATTATTTTGCAGATATAATACAATAATTACCACTAAACCCATGCAAAAACCTATACTTTCGGCCTGGGTTTACTTATTTATAACTCTTTTATTTGCTAATATTTTAGGTTCTCAGTGGATAGTGTATACCAACCACCTGAAAATTATGAGACACTAACATTGTTGTGGTCAAAATGTGTGCTGCTATTGTGGTTGTTTTTGTTTCTTGGTGGGCGTCGCCGAAAGGGGAGTGCCAAAATAAGTTTGCCAGTAATACCTTTCCCCTAATCATATTCAGCCCAACATCTATGCTAAGACTTTGGCAATTTGACACATGGTTACTGTATATAGTGAACGGTTTTGTTGTTGTTTCCCTTTCGGTTTAGAGGCAATGGTAGTTTGGCAATTACTTCGATAGAGTCAATGATAATACGCAGATCCCAAGTTGATCCAAGAGCTTTGAAAAACTATTTGTAGTAAAAAATTAATAAATAAAATTGGTAAAAATCAATTAACACATTAATCCTTGACTATTATATGGTCAGTAACCCAAACTGTTTTTTATGATTCCCAACTGGTTTAAGCACATTTCGAATTAACTTTTAAGGTTTCAATTGGTAGATTCAATTATATTATCAAAACAACATTCAATTAGTTCCTGTCAAGGGCAACTCCCTTTAAAATGTCAGCATTGGGCACCATCAAAGCAGCCACAGAGTGAGCATATTGACCCATAGAAATAGGACTGCTTTGATCTTAGATGATGTCATTTTGCGGCGCCCGCTCATTAGGCACTCATCAATCGCTTAATTTCGATGAGAGTCCCCATGGTTTAGCACCTCATTGCCGCGACAAAAGGTGTGGGGTGAAGTGGGGGATATGTGTGCGTGTCAATGCCACACAATGGCACAGGTATGATATGCCACCTGAACGGACGTTGCTCCTGTTGTTGCCGCCGCTGCTGCTGCTGCGACATTCAGCGCATTCATTTGTCATACATTTATGCATTTGTGGCGGTCGGGATAGGGGGTGTGCCACTGAAAGCACTGGCCACTGAGCGTTTATTGAATTGTGTGACTTGAAGCATTCAACACTTTGAAAATAAATCGTAACATACTAACCTTAAATAAAGTATACAAATAATTGAATAAAAACTGAAAGCTGTATCTCTGTAAAAAGTATTAAATTCTCAAACTTAATTTAAATGAACACCCATTATTTACAAATTTAAACAAATTCTCTTGAATATGATTAATGTAAAGAATAGTTAAACTTTTCTGCCAGATATTTATGTATATGCCGCAGGATCGGCTGTTGCTCTCTGTCCAGTCGGAATGGCACCTACTCCGGTCTGTGGGCGGACGGGGCACTTTGGGGATCCGGTAACAGGCCTCAGGTTCGCTTCTGTTTGGCCTTTTCGGCACATAAATTGCCCAGACCAGACCAGACCGACAAGAGCGACCAGACCTGGCCAAAACCAGGCCCTGGTTGTTGTCGTTATTCGTCCTGTCTACCATTTAGCCGCATTTTGTTTTTTTTTTTTATTTTTTGTGCCTGTGCCTGTGCCTGTGTCAGTGCGTGAGTGTGCGTACTGTCGGATACGAATACGTATACGGTATGCACAACGGAAATGAATTGAAATTTTAAAACCCACAGCTGCGACCGCTTCCTGCGGCAAAAGTAGCACCAACCGACGACACTTCCCCAATATACACAGATGTATGTACTTACACATGTCTGTCTATATATGTGCGTGTGACTTATTTACGAGGTATATACATGCATGTGTGCATTCCAGAGACAGATTCCCATTATATTTTTTGGTAAATTATTTCATTCTTTTCATTCATTGAAAAAAAGAGCCCCTCTCCATCATTAAAATCAAATTCTTTTGCACAAAAATAGTAGTAAATAAAATTGAAATATTAAAACACGTTTTCATTGCTCAATTATCGGTCACACGTGGCGTATGAGTAATATTGTATTAAACTGTTGATATACATGGCGTATGATTAATATGTTTTAGGTAATAATAATTGGATTTTTATTAAGGTTTCTCAAAACCCATAATATAACGCTTTCCTTTCAGTCGAATTTATTTTGCGGAATTGCCACTGCCTGCAATTTATTTAAATAAAAACGCATACAGATATCTGTGTGTGTGTGTGTGCACAAACAAGGATATGTGCTGCTGGGCCGTGCGATATGTATTGTGTGCGTAGAAGTTTATATCATTGATACACTTGGACGCATTCTTATACCAAGCACACAGGCCACCCATCCTCTTACCGGATTTATTTGCCAGTATTTAAAGTTAAGCTCGATGCCCCTTTTTATTTAAATTTATCTCCTGTTGGGCACACCATTGTATCAACAATATACACATATATATTTTTAAATAGTTGCGACTTTGAGATCAAGGATGAAGGGGGGACTGCCGTATTTCATTCTTCTTTATTATTTCCGCTTCAAAAAAGACTTTCAAAATTTCCATTTATTTATTTATTTTGATTTTCTTTTTGGTAATTTAATAACTGAAACTATGCTTGTAAAGTTAGATTCATAGATGGATCAAATCTTAGTCCAGCTATGCTAAGATTATTCTTTGATCCTTAAATCCTAACTTAACATTATCCTTGATTCATTTACAATCAAGTATTTATGCGTTAATAATAAATAAAACCTCGAATGCCATCTCAGCTTATTTATCGATTTAAATATTTCCTTTCCATTTCCCTCGTGTATGCTTTATCGTCGCTTTTCACTCGCGATAATTTAAGAGGAAAAATTATGAAGAGCGACACGCGACAAGGTTCATTGGAAATTCCGCTGCCATTTTATCGCTGCTGCTGCTGCTGATGCTGCTGCTGCAGTCATCTTCCAAAGGCCGTTGAGGGACTGCGTCAAAAAAAAAAAAGGAATTACACTCGTTCGGCTCCATTCTTTTTACGATTATTTTCTATTTTAATTATTTACATAGAAATGCTGCTACAAATGATTGATGGCCGTGCAGCGTGCAGCGATAGAGATCCGATTCGATCCGAAGCCAAATAAAGATGCCGATGATGGCCATGTTGATGATGACGACAACATACTGCCAAATATTACGTATACGTACTGTGTGACCGAGCATATATAAATTGTAAATCAATAAATAAAAAACGAAGAGAGAGGGGCTCACGCAAAAATCGTAAATAAATAAAATTCGCAAAGTGACGCAAAGTACGGAACACATAGGAAAATGCAGCAAAAGGGTTAAGGGAGTGTGGTTTTTTCTTTTTTTTTTTCTTTTTTGAGGGATGGGGCTAACATTGAACTGGCACTGGGCATGTTGTTATTGCCATTGTTCCTGGGCATCGGGCCATTGTTTATTGTATTTTGTATTTCGGATTTCGTGCCGAGCGCAGCGATAAAAATGCTGCTAAAGTATAAATTATGCCAATATAAGTTTGAAAATGAGCGAGAACGCAGCAGCAAACAAAAAAACACACACACACACACACTTGAGTGTGGGTTAAACGAGGGGGGATTGAAGGGAAAGCTGACCTTAAACAATACCAAATGTATTTTTTATAAATTACTGTAATATTTATATATTTAAATTTAAGAAATATTTTACTTAATTTATAATCTATGCAAATAATATTTTCTTCGTTCCAAAACCCATAAAACCCCTTTAAAAACTATCCACAAAAAACTATCAGAAATATAGCTTCAATAGCGATAGGCTTTACAACATTTGTGCCACCCCTCGCCACAACAATGCACAGGAGACAATGTAGCCGACACTCTTCATTCACACACACACACGCCAATCTGTATTGGTATGGGTTTATAATTTTTTTTCTTTTTTTTTTTTTTTGTGTGTATTCGGGTGCCCATTCGGGTCATGCTCAAAAAAATGCGCATAATTGGCAAATTTAGAGTGAAATTGGCTGACAAATATGCAAAAAATGTGTGTAACACACAAAATGCCGACAAATAAAGCTGCTGCCTAAAAAAATTTCAACAAACCCCCCCTTTATTCATTAAGTAGCATATTTTATTTTTTATAAGTAAACTGACTAGGCACTTTTTCCAATATAAAATACAAAGAATTTTGTCTTATCTTCAAGAGGCTTATTAAAGCCTTTCAAGGTAACTTATTTTGCTTTGGTTTTTCCCCAGTGAAATCTATATTTTCTTCAAAGTTCGTTTCATTCTTAGGAAAATTTCTTAATTAAAACCCAAATTTAAAATAAATCAATCAAATTTTCATCTAGAAGAATTTAAGCACTTTCAACAGCAACTTTTAATATTTATTTATTTATTTTTTTAAAGCTATAAAAAAAAACAAATATTCTCTTTACTTCCCTTAAACATCCTGGACATACTTTCTGATCCAGTCCTTGAAATAGTAGACCCTGGCATAGCCATCGGGATAGCCGGAACCACAGCCGCCGACGACAAAGCCAGCAATGCCCACCACCTCGCCATTGTACACAGCCGGACCGCCAGAGTCACCGTTGCAGGCACCATTGTCCTCCTCATGGATGAGGCACAGCTCGCCGGCAAAGCCAAAGTCAATCAGCTCAGTACAGCGCTCCGTGGAGATCGACTTGAGGGTGTTGTACTGCAGATAGCGCGGCAGGTCGCCCAGATGCCAGAGCCTGCCCCAGCCGGAAATGACAATGTCCACATCTGCGGGCGTGTCAAAGGTGGGCAGAGCAATCGGTTGGATGCTGTCCGAGTAGATCAGTGGCTCTTCGAGACGCAGCAGGGCGATATCGTTCTCGAAGTTGCCATAGTTCTCGTGGAAGATTACCTCGACCACCTGGCTAAGGATTCCGCCGCTGAATCGATCATTGGAGCCCGAGCGAACGGTAAGCCGCTCCGCGGCAACAGCCACATACTTTCCGTCGGCATCCTCATTGGTCACACAGTGGGCAGCGGTCAGGATGTAAGTTCTCGACAGGATTGAGCCTCCGCAACTATGCGAGCCGCCGTTCCTCAGGGAGATCTGGTGCGGGAACTGGTTCTTGGTGGCATCCACGCCGCCAACGATGCGGCCATTGATGTAGCCGGGCGCCGACTGTACGGGCAGTAGCAGGGCCAGGCAGCTGGCCAGCAGCAGTATCCCAACGTGGACGGATGTCATTTTTGAAATGGCCAAAGCCCTGGAGCCACCACCTCCTTAAGTACACTGCTCTCCACACCGATGTCTGATTTACAGGCGGCATTATCTGTACTCAAGGCAGCGGGCAGTATCTTATCGGCCGACGAGATTTATATATGGAGGTCTTAGGCCTTATGGAATGGAATCTAATCGCGATGGTCAACTATCAGATAGAAGCGAATCTGCGGCGATTGGGAAATTATGTCATTGTTGGGCTAATCTTGATGGGCAATTTTTGGCCCAGCATGACCCTGTCTTCTTGAAAGGGCAGCCCAGCACCTGGCGGGATTCCCACAGAGCCTTGCATATTTTGCGGTATTAACGCATTGGGTTTGGCCTCTCCTATCTTTGATATCCGATATAATACATATGCAGGAGATGGGAATTGCCAGGTGCACCTAATTGCTAGCCATTTAGTAATTTTAAAATTCCCAATTAGGCCAATTACAGCAACTTGACAGTAGAGTGATATGGCTTACTTATGCGGCTATGACACAATATTTCTAATACAACATTTTTTAATAATTATAGGTAGTAGAAAGCGTGGAAAGGGAAAACTGCCTTGTTTTTGATTACATTTGCGTCTTGTGGGAATATGGTCACACTGATGGTTATAGTTTACCTTTTAAAATTCAGTGTCATACCAGCACAATGAAGTTCAATTAATTAGGTTTTAAAGGAAGTGTTAAGGCCCTATTGAAACCCACACATAGGAGCTTTCGAAGGAAGGGAACTATTACAGATTTATTTAAATCTTAAAAGAAAAAAATGCACAATATATTGTGTAATTAACGATATAACATTCCCCCTCAGTATAAATATATCCACATCTCGATTTCCTCAACGTTTATTCAATGAAATATCGTGCTTCCTCCTCATCTCTTTACTGAACATCCGAGTTTGCCCTAATCCAGTCGTTGAAGTAGTGCACCCTAGTGTATCCATCCGGATAGCTTGTTCCGCAGGCGGACCACACAAAGCCAGCAATGCCCACCACCTGGCCGTTGTACATGGCCGGGCCACCGGAGTCGCCATTGCAGGCACCGTTGTTGGCCGCATGGATGAGGCACAGCTCACCGGGGATACCCCAGCCGATTAGTTCGTCGCACGCCTCGAGGGACAGCGACTTGAGCGTGTTGTACTGCAGATAGCGCGCCGGATCACCCTGGTGCCAGAGCCTGCCCCAGCCAGAAATGATGACGTCCACGTCCGCCGGAGTGTCCTCCGTGGGCAGAGAAATCGGTTGGATGCTGGCCGAGTAGATCAGTGGCTCCGCGAGACGCAGCAGGGCAATATCATTACGAAGATTGGCAAAGCCCTCGTGGAAGATCACCTCAACCACCTGGCTGAGCACTCCGCCGCTGAAGCGATCGTTGCTGCCCGAGCGAACGGTTAGCCGATTCGCGGCAACGGCCACAAACTGTCCGTTGGCATCCTCATTGGTCACACAGTGGGCGGCGGTCAGGATGAAGTTCCTTGACACGATCGAACCGCCACAGCTATGGGAGTTATTATTCCTCAAAGAGATCTGGTGCGGGAACTGATTTTTGGTGGCATCCACGCCGCCAACCACGCGCCCATCGATGCTACCGGGCGCCGACTGTACGGGCAGCAGGGTTGCGAGCAGCAGCAGCAGGAGAGTCGCGGGGGCAGCAGCTCGGGCGGTTGCCATTTTTGAAATGGGGAAAGGCCCCAATCGGTGAACCATCTTATATATAGCGGAAAATAGTTATTGATTTACAATCAAGTCATTATCTTGAAGTTAACTAACTAGTAGAACAATCTAATCGCTTTAGATTGGGATCTTATGGGGGACTTAATCTTATCGGCGACAAGCTAATTGTGTTAATATTTTATGGGTAATATTGATGGGGAAAACTCATTCAACAACATGACCTTGCCACAAATATAAGAAGTTTTCAAGTTGGGTTCTTCCTACCTTGTTGCAGAGAAATGATAATTATCCTTCTTTAATTATTATCCCCTCCAGTTGTCAATTAATAGAAAAGCCAAAGCAGATCCAGAAATAAGGATTGGGGATTAACGAACTTTGAATGATCTATCTTTACAGAAATAGAACAGCTTAAAGGGGTAGAAAGATAGATAAGAAGACCAATAAAACGCATGTAAATACTTGTGTTAGCAATTAAAAGCCAATAATTGAAATCCCCTCTCCTTAGATTAAAACTCAAGTCTACAGACGTAGCTGAAATACCCAGAAGAATTGTCAGAGAAGACACAGAGAGAGAGAGAGAGAGTGTGTGCCATTGCAAACACCTGAAAGACAATGGGGAAAAGGCATAGGCAAAAACATTCCGCAGCAACAATAACGGTAACGGACTGTGAAACGATTCGTGATAAATCTATTAGCCCATCCAGAGTTGCATTGTTTGTTGCTGCGCCAAAGAGAGAGGGCGAGGGGGGCGCCGGGCTCCAAACGGGACAGCAACAGGCGGCGAGACAATTGACGGCTGAAGACACAATTAGAGGGAGAGCAAATGCCGAAGGAGTGAGGTAGAACGGAAGAGAGGAAGAGAGGAAGAAAAAGAGAAGGTGCAAGGAATTCTCATTGACCATTTGTTGGTTCTTTTGCATTCGTATGCGTATACGTAAGTGTGAGTGTAGGTGTGTTTATTTGTTTGTTTGTGTCTGTGCAAGTGGGTCTGTGGTAACTTTTTAATTTAATCAAAATGAAGAGAGTGCAAGGAGAGGGAGAGGAGAGAGCGAGGAGCGAGTGGGAAGAGTTTGCAAGGATAAACGCAGACAAGCCAATGAAAAAAAAGAATCAGAGATACACGAAAAGAAAAGAAGGGGCACATAAATTCTGCAAACAAGTAGAAAATCAAAGGGTTTTTAAAAGAAACAAAGAAAATACAGAGAAAATATCAAAGAAAATACTAAGAAAATATCTGAAAAAAGGAGAAAATAAGCAAGAAGCAAACTTAAATTATAAATAATTATATCTTATACTGTTTCAGTTCTTCTAATTTTTTTCGTTTACCTCATTTCTCACAGTGCATTGACCGCGAAAGGTTCGGAAGAAGCGCCGGCCGTCAGCGGAGTTGGCGAAAAGTTTATATCAAGGTTCGCACTTAATTATTGACAGTGGCAGGCCGGATGCTTGAGGGATTCTCTTCCCCAGATTTTCCCCCTTTTTCCAGCTTTTCACCCACCCAGCCTTACCCTTGCGGTTAGTACGAGGGCGGGGAGAAGGGGAAGCTCTGAGGTCTAGACATTTAAATTATGCACAGCCTCCCGCTCGCTCGTTCGTTCGGTTAGAGAGGCTCCCTGCCGTTGCTCAATCAGCCGGTTTTTTAATACCAACAAAAATATGAAACCATCGGTGGACACTGGTGGAAAAGTCAAGGGTTGGTGGAAATCCCCGGGGGGTATAACATGGCCGCAGAATTTCAATTTCCCATCACGGTTGGTCAACAAACTTAACCAGCACATCATGCAGGGCCAAAGCCAACAATAGAGGACACATTAAATCATTGAAAATGCACATAATATGGCTATATATTTGTATATTTATTTACTAAATAAATACTGGGCTTTAACTAAAGGTTTAACCAGCTGGATTCAAGTTGAAAAGTTTCCTTCCAAGCCAAGTTAAGCAGGATAAAACTAGATGTTGGTCCTGCCAATTATTTTGATTAAAGTTCTTAAAGCTATGCAAAACCAGAGTTGCCTTTGCCCTGCCATTTGCCTTTCTTTGTAAATATACATGTGTATATATGTATGTGCATTCCCTTTTCTTTTTTTTGTTGGATTTATCTTTCATCTTTGGCAAAGTGTTTCACAACTATTTCACTGCACTTGAGAGTGCAATGCCAGTGGGAGTGGGGGAGTCGTTGAAGGGAAAGGGCTGGGTGGCGCTGAGTTGGGTAAAAATCTTTCGAACAACTCCCGTTACCGTTGGCGCTGTTATCGAATTAAATACATACAGACAGACAGAGAGACAGACAGACAAAGAGACAGACAGACAAACAGACAGAGAGACATATAGACATATAGAGGCAGCACAGTCGCCGCCACGGGGCGATCAATGTGGAAATTTATGGAGCGAAAGACGAGGCCAGGGGCGGTCTGGGTAGGGGAGGTTGCACGGAGGCCAGGCAACAATTTTGGCAGCCAAGCACGTGAATGGAGTCCAAAATTTTGCGCACTTGTGCAATGATAGCGAACCACCAAAAGCCAAAACCCGTAGCATCAATCCTCCATAGCTCCCGTTCCCTGTTTACCCCATTCCATTCCCTTCATTCCCACCCCGTGTGCCATTCCACGTTCCAGGCTCCACAAACCATAGTCAGGTAAACCAGGTACATACTCCGCCAATTGCATGTACGTATGTATTAACAGCTGCGGTCAAAATAATAGGACCAGCTTCAAAAACTTAACTATCATTTCAACTGTAATGTACAAATATTTTTTATATATATTTTTTTTTTATGATTTTCATTACCTTGAAAGTTACTACAAAATATTCACCTAGAAGTATAGTCTTTCTCTTACTTAATGAAGTTTTTCAATGCTAATGTTTTGACTGTCACTTAAGGTAAGACACTTAAATATGCACATAGAATGGTTGAAAAGGGGTGGTTGTTGGGGAAAGGCTATGGGCCAACTCTCGTTGGCCATTTGGTGCTACCGATAGTCAAAAATATGTAAGTCATTGCCTTTAAGTTCCTTGGCTTTTGATTAACACTTACAACCGGCAATATTCCAAGGCTTTCAGAGATTTTTAACTACTACTTTATGCTATATATTTGTTTTTAAATTAAATTCCTTGGCAACTCTAAATACTTGTTACAAAAATTACCAAGAAATTAAACAACCAATCAAATAAAACATATTTCTAGTACAAAAAATATATATTATAAAAAATGTACAATAAAAAATACCCAAAGGCATCATCAAAGCAATAAAAAGCCAGACATATGGCTTAAACTTGAACTATTTTTATCGTCTGCCCTCAACAAAACAGTTTCAATCGAATCAATTGCGGTAATATCCGAACATGACAACTCATTAGATCCATAATAGATAATTGAAGCATCATCGTCGGCGTGTCTATATCATCGTCAGCCTGCAAGCGGGATCCGAATCGCATGGAGGATGGCCAAAAAGTTATTGAACTGTGGCCATTACGCTTCAATTGATTGTCGAGTGCCATGGGCGGCAGGGGCAGGGGCAGTGGCAGTGGCAGTGGCAGTGGCAGAGTGGAGTGGAGTGGAGTACAGAAGGCTGACTGACTAGCCAATTATGCCCCCAAGGGGCCGGCGGAGCTGTGGCGGGCTGGAGTTCGCTCCGTAACGGAGATGGAGACGGAGACCATGTCCGTTGCGAGAGTTGCTCCTTATCGCCATTGCACATTGCTCATGTCCATGTCCACGTTAGCGACGCCTCGCGACTCGCGACATTTGCCAAAAAGGAGGCGTATAACCTCTGCCATCAGCCAGGAGTTTTATAGGCACAGCAAAAAAAAGTATATAATAAAAGCCAATACAAATTATAATTAATCGAGTAATTTTTATACATTTTGATTTGAAATTTTAAGGACACCAGTGCGTATGAGTGATATGTAAGGCACAATGGTGATATTACTCATACGACATGTGGTCCTTTTTACATTATTTCAAAGTTAGTCTTCCCTAATATTATTTATTTATTATATTATTAAAATGATTATTTTTTTGGCAGTGTACCCAAACAGCGATAACGGAGCATCAGCCTCTCTGGAGACCGAGAAAAGCAAAGAAAGCGGATGCGGAGGAGAAGAGGTATAAAGCGGGATGTGGAAGGAGTTGGGAGTGCATCTGCCACGTGCAGCTCTTGATTTAGTTGCGGCACAGAGTCAACGACATGCGACCAAGGAGCAAGTACCAAGGACCATGCACCAACCAATTGAAATTAACATTGGCCCGGACAGGGGTCACTCTGGACCCGGAGCCGTGCCAGGCTGACAGCTCATTTCACTTTCTCACTACTCAGAGATTCCCCCATCGGAGATTCGTTCCATAATGAAAACATAAAAATCCTTCCATATGTGTGTGTTTTGGCGTGCAACTGAAATTAATTTCCATTTCGTACATTTAATGGAATTTACTTGTTGTCTGTCAGCCCAAAAGGATTCGTGTAGTCTGTGGCTGATCTGCCCTCAGCCTTCCTCCATATATCCACATGCGAGCAAAGGCCTGCTGCATCAGCTGCACTCTCTTTCGGCCTGGTTATTTCGGTTTCGGGCTATTTGTTTGACGGCTGTCTGTCAGCCTTTGGCCAAAATATGCACGTGCCAATGGTATATAGAGATTTGGGTATGAGAGTGGTTAGACTCAAATGGTAAGCAAGGAACTCTACATATGCACATAAGCAGGATTATAAATCATCTAAATAAACTAGAATAATTCAATTTAAACACTAAAGTATATACCATGGTGAATAAATCCATTTTCGATCTTGTTTAAGACAAGTTCAGTTACCCCTTTCACAGTCAAAATCGATTTAAGTATCTGAAAGCTTTTCTTTCTTGGATTTTGCCTTATTTCACAATTTTATTTGTGAAATTAATTAATTCAATAAAAGGGAAATATGCAATTTATGGTGGCCATAAATTTCCACATACACATCCACTGGGTGGCACAGATACTCGAACTCGAACTCGAACTCGAG